TTTAAACTGTCAAATTTATTCCAAGTTTTGAAGAGCTTTTATCTCCTAAATTGCAAAGAACTGAATTTCTTAATAATTACAAGTTTGTTTGCACTGCGTACTCAGAACTCTGGACTAGATGCTTCTTTCTGCTATGCAAAGGGGAGCGAACACACACCATTCATGAAGTATCAGGGGGTAGCCGTGTTAGTCTGTATCCACAAAAACAACAAGGAGTCTGGTGGCACCTTAAAGACTAACAGATTTACTTGGGCATAAGTGTTCGTGGGTAAAACAGTCTTTAAGGTGCCACCAAACTCTTTACCATTCATGAAGAAATGTGTCCGAGGAACTCATAAGAAGGAAAAGGAAGGTATGGAGCCTCTTGCCAGGTAACCACTGGCAGCCTTCTTCTGTGGTGACAACCTGGGAAAGTGACCAGCCAGGAGGGCGAGGTAGTGCTATGGAGTAGTCACTCTTCACAGCATGCTCACATAATAACCAGCCATAACTTCGGCAGCAAATCGCTGGTGTTCATTGCTGTCCCTCTGCAGCTTTACTCCACCAGAAAAGTGCAAGGAGTCAACAGCAGCATAGTGACTGAGAAAGATGGACATCCTGCTAAGGGGACATGTAGTACCTCATTAGGAGAGCAGTGGGGGCAGATATTCCAAGGGGAAGGCCTGGCAGGGGGAGCAGACATTCCACTGGAGACCTGTTTTATGAGGAGCCAGGATTCCAAATGGCTCTTTGCATTCTTCATGGCTCAGTAGCTAAGCTACCCGTTCCTTCTTTGCATTCATTAATGCCCCACCCACACCATCTGGACCGACTTTTGCAGTAACTTCTCCAATAAGATGTATTTTTGCATAAGTCGAGGAGTAAGCATAACATTTTAAAAACTAAAGGTGTATTCTGTTTATGCTTCTAAACTGTTTAAACTTAAATGATAGGTTGCTCTGTTTTCTTTTTAGCAGGCATTGCATTACAGAAATTCCAAAACTGTGTCCTGTATAAAGTTTTTGGGGGGAGAAGGGGAAGTCGTATTTAGAGAGGAAGGAATGTCTATGCTGCAGTTAAAAAACCTTCGTCTGGCTCTAGGACCCCAGGCTCTAGCCCGAGCTTGAACGTCTACACCACAATTAAACAGCTCCTTAGTCTGAGCCCTTTGAGCTCTAGTCAGCTGGCACAAGCCAGCCACAGGTATTGTGACAGTGTACCCCATAAGGCTTTATGGGGAGGGGGTGCTTATAAATGTATGTATGACATAACTGGAATATGTTTTGTGCTGCCTGTGCCAGGTAACATATCTCCGTAAAGGTTATGGTCTACTATATCTATTCATCCTATTTGTACATATATATATCATTTTCTACTTGAGGTTAAGAATATGGGCTGTATGCTTGCTTGGTTTCTAAGTAAGCTTTGGGAGGCATTTGGTCAGCTTCTTTAGGAAGGAATTCGCCAGGTTAAGTACCTGATCAGGGAACAATGCATCTTGGAATGCTCCAATCCACATAAGAAGTCTTCCTGGAGACATGCAAGATTCCATGTGGGCAATGGCTTCAGCCTGTAAAGACTGAGTCATGCAGGGACATGTGACTTGCCCAGGTGACTCCAGAACTCCATCTTGGAGCTGGACTTTGCATAGGAGGGAGGAGGGGGGTCTCCTCCCACAAGAGAGAGTCTATTTAACCCTGGGGGAGACCCCTCCATTTTGTCTTCAGCTGGCTAAAGAAGGAGCCTCTCCACCCCCCCAGGATGCTTGAAGGAAACCGAAACAAAAGACAGTAACTACAGGTGTTGTGAGAGATTGCTGGACCCAGGCTAAAGGGAGATTAGCCTGTGAAAGGGAGCATTCTGGAACTGGTGAGGAACTTATCTGTATTTAGTTTGATTAGGCATAGATTTGCGCATTTTATTTTATTTTGCTTGTGACTTACTTTGTTCTGTCTGTTACTACTTGGAACCACTTAAATCCTACTGTCTGTATTTAATAAAATCACTTTTTATTTAGTAATTTACTCAGAGTATGTATTAATACCTGGGGGAGCAAACAGCTGTGCATATCTCTCTATCAGTGTTATAGAGGGCGAACAACTTATGAGTTTGCCCTGCATAAGCTTTATGCAGGGTAAAACGGATTTATCTGGGTTTAGACCCCATTGGGAGTTGGGCATCTGAGTGCTAAAGACAAGCACACTCCTGTGAGCTGTTTTTGGGTAACCTTGCAGCTTTGGGACAAGTGATTCAGACCCTTGGTCTGTGTTAGAGCCAGACAGGAGTGTCTGACTCAGCAAGACGGGGTGCTGGAGTCCTGAACTGGCAGGGAAAACAGAAGCAGGGGTAGTCGTGGCACATCGGGTGGCAGCTCCCAAGGGGGTTTCTGTGATCCAACCCGTCACAGGTATGTCTTCAGTGCAGACATACCTGAAGGACTGTCTTGTCATTAAGACACTGGACAGAGACTGGTTTCAAATCTTGGCTTTGCAACAGACTTCCTGTGTGGCCTTGGACAAGTTGCTCATCTCTCTGTGCCTCAGTTCCCCATCTGTAACATAGCACAATAATTCTTCCTGTCTGCCAGCCTTTATTTGTCATGTCTATTCAGACTATAAACTCTTCAGAGCAGGGACTGTCTCGTTATGTGTTGGTACAACACAATGGAACACCTAGCAGAAATGAGACCCTGGTCATGGATAAGGCCTACAGATACTGTTGTAATACAAATGCTGAATAATGTTACAAATTGTTTAATGCAACGAATAAACTGACAGTTTATCCAAGGAGTATGTGACTATATGCAATATAGTGCTTGTAATGTTACAGAAATACAGATCATTACGTTTTCTAAAAAGCTATCATAATTCTATACATATAGTAATTAAGACCCTGATGTTTATTTTCTGGCCTTTGATTTATGAAAACATTCTGATATTAAAAGTTAATGGAGGTGGGCACAAACTGCAAGGTTCAGTTACAGAAGTGGAGTCAAATTTTCCCCAAGGTTTGGGTATGATCTGAACCAGAGTTTAGCTTCAGTCTCATCTCTAAAAGTTTAATCTCGAACTATTGAATTGTCAGTCCTATCTCAGGGCCAGGTTATGCCAACTTTATTCCAGTTGAATTGTTCCTTAATCCATCAGTAGCTCTGCTGAAGAAAATTGGGTCATTGACAAAGTGAGGTACTACTCAGTCTGAGGATGGGTGGCACAATATAGCCCATATTTTTCACCTGATTATGTCTACATTAACAGAATCCTTAAGGCTTGTTTGAAAGAAAAGGTATATAGAAAATTCATATGGAATCTTCCATGTATTTTGAGAACATACTTTATTACAAACATTTACTAAGGTACTGTGAATGGGAATGTATTTTGTTTTATGGTAATGTTATTCCCTTTACGTGCATAACCCCTTTTAGTTCTCCATGACTTTTCCAATCCAAACAATCCAAAATGGACCCCTCAGTATCCCCTGCCCATTCATTCTGGGGAACCAATAGTTTCTCTCAACTGCTGCTGCTTCTCAGATTGCCACAATTGTTGTTTCTCCTTCTCCAGCTAGGGAAAGCAGTCCAGCAGCTGCTGTAAAATAGCCTGCAGAAAACACTTACTTAGCTAGCTAGCAAATGTTGCTCAACCTTTGGTCCCTATTTGTGTCCCTCCATGACCCACTTAAATTCCACCAACTCAGTCAGTCACCTCACAGCTGCTGCCAAAACACTGATCTAGCCTGCTGATCAACCCAGTCACATTGTTGACTGAATACCATAATATGTACACATTTTAGCGAGGCAGCGCGGTCTAATGCAGGGTTCTCAATCAGGGGGTTGTGATGAACAGTTCCAGCAGGGTCACAACCACCCTCCCTTTCTCTATGGCTAAAAGGGCATGGGGTCCTGAAACTCTTTTCTCTTGCAGTGTGGTATCATAGTGTGAAAAAGGTTCAGAATGGCAGAGCTAGTGGGCTAAGAGACTGCTGGTGGGAGGAATCTGAGCTCAGGTCCCCTTAATCACCAGCCACATTAGTTGGTCAGGTGCAAGTGGTGAATAAGGGACTCCATGAAAAGAGGTGAAGTAATTTACTCCTTCCCCAGGACAAGCGAGGAGCAGAGGAGGAGTTGTGAATCTGAGGCTAGGTCTACACTACCCGCCTGAATCGGCGGGTAGAAATCAACCTCTCGGGGATCGAATTATCGCGTCTCGTCGGGACGCGACAATCGATCCCCAAATCGATGCTCTTACTCCACCAGCGGAGGTGGGAGTAAGCGCCGTCGACAGGAAGCCGCGGAGGTCGATTTTGCCACCGTCCTTACAGCGGGGTAAGTCGGCTGCGATACGTCGAATTTGCGTATCTTAAATCGACCCCCCCCCCCGTATTGAAGACGTAGCCTGAGTCTCATGATTCATTCTCTGGGTTGCTCCTGGAGCAGCTGAATTACACACCACGCCTAACTGAGAGCAGGTTGTATTCTCTCTGCCCCATCTGAGATAATATTATCTCATTTGAATTATTAGGGTAAATAATTAGTTAGTGATTGCAAAGTGCTTTGAAGGGAAAATTGCTATCTGAGTTCTAAGAATTATCATGATTTTCTTTTAAATAAAACTTAGAAAAACAGATTCTGCTACACTGGGTAGCACCTTATTTGAAAAGTCTCAGCGGGACTACCAGTGGAATAAGATACTACTCAACATGAGTAAGTGTATAAGAATCTGGCCCATCAGGTTTATTTTTCTGTATATGCTCAAGAAAATAAGGGCATAGGTAGGACCTCACAAAAAGATAAAACTCAAAACTTAGTATTTATACACTCAATCAAGTAATACATTTTATCTTGGAAACATGAAATTTTAAAACTAACATTCATGTGGGTTAGTTAGCTGTGACTTCTCCCCATATCTCCCGGATCCTACTGTCCTCCTATAGACCCAGAAAGCATTTTAGATTCCTTTGACAACTTTTTTCTCTTTTTTAACTCAGAAAATGACGGTTAGTGTTTGTTTGTTTGTTTGCAGCACTCAAAAGGAGTGAATGAGATGAGCTATCTGGGTTATAGTATCTGAAGGGCTAAGTTATTCTCTTGGAGAGCCATTCTAAATGAGCCTGACCGAGACACTGGATCTGTGTGAAGAAGACTAAGGATATAATAGGATGTCAACTGAGACAGAACTTCCAGTGGCTGTTAAAACCAGCGCAAAGAAAGACTCCAAAAAGAAAGGTAGTAAGTCCGATTCTCTTTATATTTAATGAAACACTGGTTTTCTTTTACACTTTAATGTATCAAAAGCATGCCCAATCCTGTGCTCCTTGTGCAGGTCAAACTGGTGTTAACTTCAATAGAGTTTTGTCTGCTTAGGAAGCATCAGATCTGGTTCTTTCTGTATTCAAAAAAATATCACTTTTAAAACAAATAAGATGCAGAAACACCCTAAGTTATTGCATTATGCTTTATTAGTTTTCTACTTTATAAGCGTGTTGTATTTGTTTTGTTGTGCAAAATAGATAATCTAAATTCTTTACTTCAAAAGTATTGGTTTAGCCACTTTTAGCAAAAACTGTTTTTATTTTGTTAGATATTTTTTTGTTGGCAAATAATTCTACTAAATGTTTTGTTTGTGTCATCTTGAACTGAACAAAAGAGGTTAAATGCCCTACTCAGCCTCATAGTTTGAATCTTATGCAAGGATCTGCATAAAAGACAACAGGATTCTTAAGGGAGACTTACTCCACTAAGCCTTCTTTTGGGGTAGACTTCCTACTACTGGGACCTGACCCTCAAAATCCCAGCTAGATTTGGAAGTCCATTAAGCACTTTTAATTATATGCTTAGGAAGAGAAAAGATAAATTAGAAACGTTTTGTTATGAGAACTCTTGAGCTATTGGTCTAAATGCATGAAACGAGATTATTAATTTAACAGACAAACATTAAACATCGTGGTTTAGCTTTGGACAGATAATATTGGAGCTTTGTGGTAGCTGAGAAGGCATTATGTAGATCAGAGGTTCCCAAACTTTTATTTGCTATGCCTGCCTTTGGAGAGTCATATCCCATGTGTGCCTCCCCTGCCCCCCAGCCCTGTCTCCAAGCCCTCTGCTTGGCTCCCTCCAGCTTCCTTGCTCTCACTCTGCCAGCTGACTGCTCCATCAAGTAGCCCTAGCCAGCTACTTTCTCCCCTGCCGCATCGCGATCCCTACCAGGCAGCACCCCGTTGACTCTACTCACTGGCTCCAGCTGCTTCCTCCACGCTGCTGCTGCCTGGACCGCCTGGACCCTGCTCCCTGTGCCGCTGCCTGTTGCCACTGGCCCAGAGTCTGGGACACGTGCAGACAGGGGTGGGGTCCTGGCGGTAACAGATACTGTGGGAGCTGGCTTGCTCTCCAGTCCCCCCTCTGGGACCTCCCCTTGTGTGCCGGCTGCTGGACCACTGTGCACAACCCACTGCTGGAAACCTAAGATGTCAATGTAAAGAGGTCCCCTCCTTTGCCAAGATGTACAGCTGAAAGTAGAGCCGGTCAAATTATTCATAACCAACAATACTTATTTTCTCTTGGCAATTAATTCCACATCTCCTAATCTCTTTGTTTAATATTCACCAAATATGGTTCAGGCAAACACAAATTTCGGCAGATTGGTTGTTTACACACTGTGATTACTCTATGTGTGGTTTGTGATTGGTAATTTAAGTCACATGGCATTGCGTCTGCTCCATGAATGAATTAGTGAAACTTTTGAAAATAACAAATAATTCGCTTAGGGATTGAGTTTTAGATGAGTAATTTGTGCTAAAATTCATGCAACTTTCCAGATTCACAAACATCGTCACAAATCTTCAGGAGCTGAATACTTTGTAGACGTATCCCCACGAATGCAAATGAACAGGACTCACTGCCATTACTGATGCGAATATTCACAAAATATGTTGTATATTATGTGACCAGCTCTAGCAGGAGTCTCCCTTCTCTCCGTCATGGAGAAGTGGCTGAAAAGTGATCAGTGTACAGCAGTAAAACATCTCCAGAATTAATCATTTTCTGTATTGAATGTATAAGTCTGACTGCTTTGAATAACAGCCAACAAGCTGCCGGGGTCACAGTAGAATAGGTTTTTTGGACAGGCTATGTATAAAATTCAGGTAATGTATTACCTGTTCTAATCCTAGGTCGTGAAAGTGAGAAGAAACTTGATTTGTTCATTACTTTTCATTGGTTCATGTCACACCATGTATATCTCAGCAAATGAGCCCTAACCTAGAACAGTGTGATATGATGGACATTTGGAAAAAATTGTGTTTTTCAGGTTCATTAACTGACATCAGAGGGGAAGTAGCAAGTGCACAACCTGAAGTTATGTTTGTAGACACTGAGTTCAGTTATCCAATGGAAATGACTATTCCCAAGAAATAAGTCTTTGCTTTATAAAGACTCCAGTGAGTCTGTGTTTATTGTTTTATGACAGCTGCTTCCATTTAAAAGCAGAGATGTGCATCTTTCACAATATAATCTGATATTCTAATGCATACAAGACAACCTACAGTATTGCGTTGAGCAAATATGTACCTGTAAACTCCAGATCTTTACAGGACAGACTTTCCATAGGTGTGTTGCGCATTTAAAATCTATATTGACTGAAAGAGAATAAGCATGGGTTTGGAAATAGGGCATAGGGGCTAAGTTGTCTTTCCAGTTGTACCATAGGTTATCTCTGTGTTTTTAGCTACACCACTGAATCTATCTTTGGCTCAGTCTCCCAATCTCTATAAAAGTGATCATATTTCTGGATTTCAAAGGAGTATTGTGAAGCATAATTCATTAATGTTTGTAAGACACATGGAGATCCTCAGGTGGAAAGTGCTACAGCAGTGCAAAATATTGTCATTAAGGAGGTGGAAAAAAATGAAAACATGGTTATTAAGTTGATATTGCCAACCCATTTGGGGTGTTGCATAGCTGTTTTCTGCAAATTGATTGAATAACATGAATTCCAAAATTAGAATTTGAATAGCAATTTTATGTATATTATATATATTTTAATCAGATGAGGTACATGCTGACCACCTAAATCAGAGTGCCTCCTTAGCACTTTTTGAGTTTCTCAGAAATGTGGATGTTTCAGAACTAGTGTTTTTTTTTATGATTTCCAGTAGGGAAAAAACATAAATAAAACTGAGTATGGATTTAAATCAGGGATCTCAAACTCAAATGACCGTGAGGGCTACATGAGGACTGGTACATTGGCCCGACGGCCGCATCACTGACCACCCCCCCGCCATCCCCCCGGCCCCGCCCCTGCCTCGCCTCTTCCCATCCCTTCCCCGCCCCCATTCCAACCCCTTCCCCAAATCCCCGCCCCTGCCACGCCTCTTCTCTGCCTCCTCCCCTGAGCGTGTGGCTCCCCGCTCCTTCCCCCTTCCTCCGGGAAAGTGCTGGAGGTAGGCAGAGGAGCGGGGACGCGGTACGCTGGGGGGTGAGGGGGCGGCGGGTGAGGGGAGCTTGGCGGCCGCAGGAAATAACTCGGGGCGAGGGGGGACACGGGGAGCTTGGCGGGCTGCAGCAAATAACTCCGCGGGCCCGTGTGTTTGAGACCCCTGATTTAAATGCTCTGACTGTGATTGATACTGGTAATGACTTGAATGGCGATAATAAGTTGACAGCTTAGTTTTTAATTTGACTTACATACTGGACAAAAAAGTTACTATAAATAGCTGGTATTAGCAGTAGGCTGATTATGCCAATCCAAGAGATTCTACAATGTTATTCTGATGTATAGAGCTAGTTGAAATTTTTCGACTAAACAATTTTCATGCTGAAAAATGAAGTTTCATCAAAAAACGAAATGAGAATGTCATTTAAAATTAAACTTGTTTATGAAAAAGTTTGAAATGAAACATAATGAAAATGTGAGGAATCTCTAACAAATTACTTTTTTTGCCTTATTGCCTCCTACAAGGTGATCCTGGACAAAGGGTGCTAGTGATTTGTAAAGAGGCATATAAAATGCAAGTACAATTTATTGTCTTGGGCTTGCAGTACAGTTTATCATGGGCTTACTCGTTTGCAGGAGTTCATGGTGCCCACATTCTGCAATGCATCGACGGCCTATTCCATGTATGCACTTACGGTGCTATAAAAAGAATTTATTAATAATAGTATTGAAAGGTTTTAAATAACATAGGACTAGTCTAGCTCAGAAACTGCCTGCTGCCCTCTGTTTATATCACGGCAACTGAGATCTGTAGGATTGGCCATGTTGATTCTCCCTGAATATACTGGGAGGGCTCAGTTGTGGGCCCAGTTGTGGGCCCACATTTGAGCAAAAGCACAGGAGTGGTACCCTGCAGGGCTAAGTTAAGCCTTTAGTGTTACTTTTTGCATAGTGCCCCTCAGATTTTAGCAGTGGCCCTGGTTTCTGCCAGAACTTTCAATTCAGTGATTGTTGTTGCTCTTAATATTATGTATTAGCTGTATTACAGTAGTGCCAGGAAGCCAAACCCTCTTCTTTCTAGTACTGTATGCACCCATAGTGACAAATAGTCCATACGTAAAGAGCTGACAATCAAAACAGTCTAGACAGCCAGCCATGCTGACACCACTTTCATTTGTTCCTTTACAAACAAAAAACCCTTTAATTTTTATGGCTATTTTAGCTTTGAATATCAACAGGATTTGATGTTAGTTTAGTCAGGTGGCTGATAGAGATGTGTGGTTTAAATTTGTGACACTCGTTATTGTGCTGAATCTGCAGCGGCGGATCATGTTAGGGATATTGCTGCAAAGAAGCCTTAAGATTAGTTAATGGTTGGAAAAGGTTTCTGAGTGCCGTTCACTGTTGAGATCTCTTAACCTTTCTTTAATGCCTTCAGCTATATCTCCACGTGTTTTCATTTGAATAATCTGCCTTAGATATAAAACAAAGTGCCGCTTTGCATCTCTACAGGGCCTTTTAGGTTTTATTTGTCTGCTTCTGGTTATTAAAGCAATATAGACACTGTCAGGTCAAATTTATATTCCGTGGCTCTGGCTGGTGAGTAGAAAAAGGCAAATCATTAGGAAGAAAAGATCCACTGTACACCCTCAACTACACTCTGTACATAGAGACCATGACAATGGTCCTGGTGCTAAGGTCACTGAAGTCCATTTGAAGGGTCCCATTGACTTCTGTGGGGTAGGCAGTAGGTCAAATGCGTCTAAATTTTGCTATTGGGATATTCTCCTCAGAG